TAAGCACTGCATGGAGAAGAGATTCATACGCATACAACAACAATGTTAAGACTGTTCGTTCTTGTCTGCTCGCGTGCCACTCAAGACGTATATCCCAAACCCTCGATACCCGCCCTCTTCGTCTTCGATCGTACACCCATTAGGGGCATATCTTGCTTACCTGCAATGTGTATTTCGTGCACCCCCTCAGGCAGGGGAAGAGAGGACGGATTGCTTGCTGAGTCGTGTGTCATGCATGACTCGGGAGGAAGTTTCGAGCGATTGCGCGATTCTTGTAGAATTTGTGAGGACGTCCCGCGCGAGAGCGCGATTTTGGAATAAAGTGTGCGGAAGTATCAGGCGGGAGCCGCTGATGTTGCAAACTTGGGCCCAACAACCCAGTTTGGTGACCCTTCATCCTTTTCCCTTGTAAAAAGCAGGGTGCAAGCCCCGACAAGCGCTTTGATCTAAGAATGCAATGGTTACCGGAGGGGGGATCTGCAATGATTATTCTTCGGAAGTAAGAGTTCAACAACAAGTTGCAGAAGCAGCAGCAACAACAACGAACACAATAGCAGCAACAACAACAACAACAATCCTGCGACTTGGATGCTCGATGATTCGATATGCAGCATGCATCCGTCATGATGGGTCGCCCCTCATGGGGGGTCTTTTCTTGCACGGGGGGGTCCGATATTCCCTTACCCACATCTCCCGCCCGAAAAGGTATTGACAACACCTCTCCCGAGGCAGTTCAACATATCCAGCCCGGATGGCACATCACCTTCGCAATCGCCCTGCGCATGCCAAGCTTCTAGGTATCACCACGTCCGAGTGGCCCAGAATCTTTGGGAGAGGCCCCACAACCCCGGAACAGCCCCTGGAGCCCCTTGGACAGCATCCAGGGCCCCTTGGAGAGCCCCCTGAGCCTTTTAAGAAAAGCTGGAGAACCCAGGTGGGAAACATGAGAGCCTTTGGGAGACATTCTCAAACTGAACTGGACGATTTCGGGGCATCTTGAAGGAAGCCTGAGGGCATGTCCAGAAAAGGCTTGGATCGGAAGAGTTCTGGGCCTCAGGGAAGGAAGACGACGACAACGACGACGACGACAACCACGACGACGACGACGAAGTCGCCGTCGCGGGCTTTCGGGCCGCCCCTGGCACACAGAGCGCGCCAGGGAGGCACCTGTGCACACCGACAGTGCATGCTGCATTCTTGAGGATCTGCATCGAGGGCTAAGGAAGCCCCAGGGTCTCTGGGAGTCTTGGTTTTTTTTAGTGCGGTATCGAGCGGGAGCGTCGTTGTTTGTAAGGGGTCATCTGCGGCGCCGAGGCGGGAGCGGTGGTCCTGAGTAAAAAGCAGGGACATATCGAGCGAGGGCACAGGTTTTGTTGGAAAGCCGGCTTCCGGTGGTGAGCAGGAGCCCTGGTCCCAAGCAGAAAAAGAGGAATTATCAAGCTGGAGCATTGTTGTTGGGAGGGGGTCTCGACGCAGCCCCGAAACGTTCAAGCACAAGCTTAATTTTTAAAGGAAATGCCGCCGGCACCGAAGCGATTGCGCCAGCGCAGATGTATATAGTGCGCCCCGTTGTGGTAATTTTCAGAGTCGTGAAAGATTCAACGTGGATTAGGGAAGCCTCAGGCTCAGCGGGCTTTTTTTTTTTTTCTTTTCTTTCTTCTTTTTTCTTTTTTTTCTTTTTTTCTTTGTCTTTTTTTTTTTTTCTTTTTGTTTTTTATTTTTTTTTTTTTTTTTTTGGAAGCCTCAGGGCTTCTAGAAATCTTGAGTTAACGTAGATGTAATATCGAGCGGGAGCGTCGTTGCTTGCAGGGGGGCCGCTTGCTGCGCCGAAATGGGAGCGTTGGTCCTGAGTAAAACTGCAGGGGAATATCGAGCGAGAGCGCCTGTTTTGTGGGCTAACGGGCTTTCGGCGGCGAGCAAGAACTTCGGTCCCAAGTAGAAAAAGAGAAACTATCGAGCGGGAGCGTTGTTGTTGTTGTTGGGAGGCTGGTTTCGGCGCACCCCCGAAACGCATCAGCGTGAGCTTCAATTTCAAAGGAAGTGCAGCCGGCGGCAGGGCGAGAGCGCCAAAGCGGATTCGGATGATCCACCAATAATAATTGTTTAGCAATTAGGATTCAACAACAACAACAACAACAACAACGACGACGACGACAACAACAATAAGATTGTTCGTTATTATTCTCTCGCGTGCCGTTCAACACGTATAACCACAACCCTCGATACCCGCCACCTTCGTCTTCGATCGTACCCCCTTTGGGGTATATCTTTCACACCTGCAACGCGTATTTCGTGCCGCCCATAAGGCACGGGAAGAGGGGATTGATGGAAGAAACGGACCAGAAAGAGGGAGAAGGATGGAGCACGAGAGGCAGTAGCAGGAGGGGGGCCAGGAGCAGAAAACACATGGCAGAACCAAACGGGCTGATCGGGCGGGTAGATCCTAACGGGCGTGTCGAAAACGCGGCCCCGGCGGCCAGGTCGAGCAGGCGGGTTGATGAAGCGTGCGTCCTGCATGAATCGCGAAGAAATCTTGAACGGCAGCGCGATTCCCAAATAAATCATGGAGAAACCCAAAGCAAAAGCGTGATTCATGAGTGTCGATGGCGCGGCGATTGAAATCAATTGCGAGGAAGTGCCACGCGAGAGCGCGATTCCTTCATGAATTGTAACGACGTCCCGCGCGAGAGCGCGACTTGGGAATTGATTGTGAGAAAGTATCAGGCGGGTGCCGCTGTTGTTGTAAGCTGGGGCCCAGGGGCGCAGTTTGGTGACACCCCGTTTCCCTTGATAGACAACAAAGGTGCGAGCTCCAGGAGAATATTTACATGACAATCGAATGGTTACCGGGCCACGGGGGGATCAACAACAATTACGTCTTCGTTAGAAATGAGAATTCAACAACAACAACAACAACAACAACAGCTAATGTTGGGGTGCCGGGGTCCAGGGTAGTGACACCTTCCTGGATTTCTTCCCGCTTTGGCCCACGATATTTCTGATCTCACCTGGGCTTCCTGAGCCTCCCGCCGCTCCAACAGCTCTGGAGGCTACCAAATAGGGACAAGAGCGGCCTGACAGGGCCGAAGACGCCCGAATAAGATTGTTCGAGATGCCCCGAAGACGTCTTAAGAAAGCTCCAAGATGCGCCCCAAGAGGGCCCCAGGAGGTCAAAATTGCTTCGTTCCATAAGCAAGGAATTGGTTTGGCGACGGACCCATCCCTATGTCATCTGTAGCGCAGGGCGCGGGTCTCTCTTTATACATTGCGCGCCGCGGGGCAATGCGGAAAGATGACTGCTGCGGGGCATGTGTGCACGGGCGCGCTGATCTCCTTGTGGGGCACGATCCGCGTGAAGGGTGTGCCGAATGATTCGAATACCCCCGCGCGAACACGCCCACTGATGCCGCAGGTGGACTTCCTCCAGGAACGACCCGTGCGAGGCATGTTCCGAAACAGGCGGGGGGGCGCCATACGAAGTTGCCCATTGGTGCCATGAGTGGAGTTCCTTCTGGGGCACGATTCTCGTGACGGGTGTGCCGACAGGAGCGGGGAGGCGGTGTACGAACCTTGTTTCTGTGCATTTTGGTGGTGTTCCTTGTAAGCACGATCCGCGTGATAGGGTGTGCCACGTTGGCCAAGGGGGGACGGCGCAGTGCGAACCCTGCCTTTGGGACCGTATGTGGAGATCCCTGTGGGATACGATCCGTGTGAGAGGTGTGCCAAAGTAGGCGGGGGGGCGGGATGCGAACCTTGTTTCCGGGGCCGTCCGTGGAACTCCTTGTGGGCCACGATCCGTGTGAGAGGTAGCCGAAGTGAGTCAGGCGACGCTATGAAGCTTCCCTCTGGTGCCGCAAATGCAGTTTCTTGCGGGGCACGATCCACGTGAGGGGCGTGCCACTATGCGAAACTTGTATCTGGGGACGTAGGTGGAACTCCTTGCGGGGCGCGATCCCTGTGAGGGGTGTGCCGACATGGGCGGGGGACGCTAAGCCAACCTTGTCTCTGGAGCCGCAGGTGGAGCTCCTTGAGAGGCACGATCCATGGGACAACATGTGTCCTGCGATGCCGATCATATTAGATTTCAACTCGAGCTCGCTAGAACATAAGCGCGCGAAGCGCGCGCGTGGTTCTACACGCGTGTGTGTATATATATACATATATATGTATGTATATATATGTATATATACATATATATATATATATAAATATGTCTATATATATATATATACATGTATGTATAGACATGTATTTATAAATACATATAGACCAACATGCATACATGCATACATGCATACATGCAGACATGCAGACATGCAGACATGCATACATGCATACATGCATGCATGCATGCATGCATACATACATACATACATACATATCAAAAATACCGCCCGCCCCCCGCCCAGGGTCCCGCACGTCCCTGGAACATCTCGGGAACGCTCCTGGTACCGCTCCCCCGGCCTTTTCTGGGGAGCCTCCACAGCGCTCCAGGAGGGCCCAAGACGCCTCCCAGGAGCCCCCAGAATGCGAAAGGATGGTCCAGGACGCTCCCAAGCAGCCCAAGTCAGCCTTCCGACGGCTCTCTAGGCTCCCAGGTAACCTCCAAGAGACCCCGAGAGAGGTCCGAGAGGCGTCCTGGGACGGCCCGAAGAGGCCAAAATCGTCGATTTTCACTGGTTCTTCCATGTTTTTTGACCTCCTCGCGTTTTCGCGCGTCCAATGGCCCAAGAGCGCCGAAGAGGCTCCCAAGACCGCCCCAAGACAACCCCTCCGTAGCGATTTTGGCTCAAGGCCATGGCCTTGCTCGGGCTCCGGAGATGGTACGGCCGCCGTGGCGAGAAGTTTCAGCAGTGGTTCTGTTGGGCAGCAGCCTTGCAGATGATTGCGCTGAGCAGGCAGGGTTTCCCGCCCCCGCTGCAATGAACTGCGACCAGTATTAGTTTTACCAAGTCGCACTGGGGAGTCCATTCGAGACGTGCAACCAGGTGGAGGCAACGATGACACCTCCTGCAACTGCGTCAATGCTTCCAGCCAATGCCTGTACGGGATGCCAGTGTCCTCGCGACAATGCTTCTTGGAGAGAATACGACGTTGGAGTTGCGTGCGACGTGGTTGACGGAAGCGCGTTCAGTTCTCAAGCTCCTTGCATGTGCGGAGATACTAGGTGCAAGCAAAGTGAGGTATGTACTTATAGCCCTTTTGTCGAGTTGTGCCAACGGTCAGGGGCTTTAGTACTGCGATCGCCGTGTATGCTGGGCGGGTCGCCACTCATATTCGAATATGAATGTAATACGTATTTCGATGCACCAGTATATTCCGCTGTTGGCGGCTATTATCCGTATTGGGATTACGGCTGCGCAGGCGTTATAGGCAGCCCGGCGATATGGGTCTTCGACACTGACGAGCCAGCCAGGGCACCTCGGCAGACTGATTTGGATGGCGATTCTGCTTGTAATGTCCTTGCGTACATAAACAGTTATGAGATTTCTGGTCCTCCGCCGGGGACTCAAAATTGGACGATCTCTTGCGACACTGGCGCGGACAAGGAGTCAGAGATCATCATTGAACACCTGTATGGACCGCTTCCGGCCGTCGAGTCGACGGGAGATGCGTGCCCGTGTGCACCATGGGCCACTGCAACGGTCACAACGTCGGCGACGTCTACATCAACCGTGACTCTTTCAGGCACGTCTACAACGTTTGCCACAGAGACGGCACCGACACCAGCGCCACCACCGACGCCAGCGCCGACGGCACCGACACGAGCAGCACCACCGACGCCAGCGCCGACGCCAGCGTCGACGGACTCCGATTGCCCAGACAATTCAACAGGGCACAGTGTGGGGCATGGCTGTGTGTGCGATGCGGGCTACTCGGGTTCGATATGGCCTGCAAGAGATTATCCATTCTACAACGGTTCGTGCATTGCAGTGAATTGCCCTGAACATTCCACAGGAGTTAGTGCACCAGACAGTTGTACTTGCGAACCTGGGCACATGGGAGCAATTCGGCCTGCATCGGAAGCTCCGTTCTACAATGGATCGTGCGTTGCAGTGGAGTGTCCGGCGGGTTCTTCAGGGACCAGTGTAGCCAACGGATGCGTGTGTAATCTTGGCTATTCTGGCACATGGACATGCGAGGCTGGTTATTCTGACACGATCACGGCAACGACGATCGAACCATATTACAGCGGATCCTGCGAGGCCGTGAATTGCCCAGGCAATTCAACAGGAAACAGCGTGGCGGACGGATGTGCGTGCAATGCTGGGTTCGAGGGGGTAATAAACCCCATATCAGAACCACCGTTCTACAGTGGAACTTGCACCGTGCTAGGGTGCAGTGCGGCTCCGACGCATGCCCCCACAGCACTTCCCACATATTCCCCGACGTCCGCTCCCACGGTTTCTCCGACGGCTTCTCCAACGCTTGTTCCTACGTTTCTCCCCACGCCTGCTCCTACGTTTCTCCCCACGCCTGCTCCTACGCATCTACCAGGCGCGCCGACTCCGCCCCCGACGGTTGCCCCGACGTTCGCCCCAACGTCGGCGCCCACGCTTGCACCCACACTGCTGCCATGCGCCAAGTTCGACGAAGCTGGCACGTCGTACCCGTGCAAGTGCGGCACTGCGACTTGCAATCAGGATGAATTGTGCTACTTCGCGAGCAGCACATGTGCGCCGGCGTGTTCGAACATCGACGCAACAGATTTGTTTGACACGACGGTGGGCCGTTGCGGGCGTGGTGCGAACATTTGCACAACCACGAACAGCAATTATTGCCATAAGGAATCGAACAGATGCATAGCTTGCAGCTCCGAAGGAACGTGTGATGATGTCGTGTACGTGTGTGAGGGGTTTGAGGTTCTTTCGCATGCATGGCAGGGGCGCGCTAACTTGCGCAATGCCGTAATACCGAGCTCGATCTATCTAATCGGCGAGTTCGCTTTTGCAGACTCGCCCTTGCAGTCCGTCTCGATTCCAGAAGGGGCTCTCATCATCAGGAATTCCGCTTTCGAGAACACATCGCTCACAGAGGTGAGGCTTCCGTCCACGCCTCGGGCCGTGTTTGACCGCGCATTTTGGTCGAACTCCTACTTGCGACACATGACCATGTTTTTTCCCAAACCCAGTTAGGGACAGTTGGCATTCCCAGCGGATGTGAACATCACTTACGCGAACGGCAATTGCTCTCGAGGCGAAATCCTTACAAGTGATGGTTGCTCGCAGTGTGAGCCGCACGAGATTCCGAATCAGGGGCAAGACGCGCGCGTGGCATGTGAAGCAGGGAAGATGCCAGATAGCAGTTCAAGCTATTGCAAAGACTGCGATGCAGGAGAATATTCGGCCGGTGACTCCGTCTGCCAGCTGTGTCAGGCGGGAACCATTTCAGGCATTGGTGATGCTGCTTGCATGTCTTGCTCAGTGGGGAAAATTCCGGACAGAGGCGGTAGCGCTTGCGAAAATTGCATCGCTGGCAAGTACTGGGCTGGCGACGGGCAGTGCCAAGTCTGTGAGACGGGGCGGATTTCGAATCAGGGATCTATCACTTGTGAAGATTGTCCACCCGGGAAGATGTCAAGCAGCAGCAACGCTAGTAGTTGCAAGGATTGCGCTGCTGGAAAGTATTCTTTTGGTGACACGTTGTGCCAGGAGTGCGAAGGCGGCACGGTTTCTGAGCAAGGAGCTTCGAATTGCAAGGCATGCCCAGGTGACCTTCAGCCTATCAACAGCCGATCATCTTGCGTTTGTCCAGCTGGGACAATGCTAGTCGGGAGCAGCACGTGCGAGCCTTGTCCACAGGGTGGCGTGTGCGTTGATGGAGTTGTGGTGTCCGCGATTTCGAGACATTGGCTCCCTGCTGGGGACAATGCAATGCCTGTCAAGTGCCCCTTGGGCGAGAGGGATGGCGCATGTCTAGAGGACAACAACTGCTCAAACGGCTACACCGGCAGTGCATGCGCGATTTGCGCAGATGGATTCGGACGCTCTGACTCGCGTTGCGTACCGTGTACTGGAGCTGGGATTCGGTTCTATATTGTCATGGCAGCGTTCGCTGCGATCGCCATTATCTGGCCTGCGCTGAGGGAATTCGGACCCGACGCCAGCCAGATCCTGAATTTTGCCGATCCGGATCAAAGTGCCATTGAGATGTCCACGGGCGATTTGGCGGACATTCTTGCTGTGTCTACTACTGTCGCCTCGCATGCTTCCAGAGTGAGCCAGTCAGTGGCAGGGGCTGCGAGTCGGCTTGAGAAGGTGGTGACCTCGCACGCCATGCGTGTAGTGAAGGTGCAAGGCCGGATATTGTTCCTTTTCTTGCAGGCATCGTCGGGATGGATAGTTACGCTCTACGCCACGTTTCCTCACATATTGGACTCGAATTTCGACGCGTTTCACACTGTCGTCGCTTCATGCACTTCCTGGGTCCACGCTATAGTCAACTCCGACATGCGACTCCGTTTTGGGTGCGTTGTGTTGCCCGACGCGGCGTTCGTGATTAAGGTTGCCGCATTACCAATTTTTTTGACGCTCTATTTCTTCTCAGACAGATTGTGCAATCGTATCGCGAACATGACGTGTTTGCAGTCCACGATTAGAGAACACAGTTATGGGCACGGAATTGGGGAATGATTGGTTCTCCCATGTTTTTGGCTCACGTATTTGTCATACACGCCGCTGACATTGGCTATCGTGTCACATATGCCGATCAAGGGAGGTGCATTCGATTGCACCCTCGAGGCATGCAATGGGGGAGAGTGTTATTTGCGCCTTGATTATCGTATCAGTCTTTCTACTTGGTCATACGCACATGTGGTACGACCTTTGGCCATGTCAGCATTCGTGGTAATTTCGATCGGCGTACCTGCATCCTACGTGGTATTTATATGGCGCGGAATCAAACGAGCACGGCGGAAGAGGCTGGTTGCCAGTTCAGACGATGGCGAAATTTGGAATGAGCTAGTTATGAAAGAAACAGGCAGATCTTGGAGTGCCCTCTACGGGCACTATAAGGCTGATTATTGGTGGTTTGAATGTGTTACAATGTATCGACGAATGCTTCTCGCAAGCGTTGCTCCTGTCGCTGGCGAGACTGCGACTGGCTACATATTCTTTTCCATATGCACTGCCTGTTGCTACGCCGTGGTTTTAGCGTTTTGCAAGCCGCACGAGCGAGAGTGTGACAACCGCGCGCAGTTGCTGGCCACACAGGCGCTTTTATTAATGTTTAGCTGTCAGATCGTCACATCAAACACTGCCTACGCGGAAGACGTACCGCATGATCGACACCGCGCCGAGATTGGATAATCTTTACTAATCGCCGTCTACATTGGCGTCTTCATCGGTCTGACACTGTACGTGATCATCCAGACGATCCCCCCAGAGCTGAGCGATCCTGCGGAGCGCGCCATCCGAACAGCATTCGCGCGGTGGGGCCAAGAGGGCAATTGTGACGAAAGCCGCGCACAGGAGCGTTCGCCGCCGCCGTTCAAGATATCCTTGCAAGGGGTGTCACGGGGAAGGGGCGGGACGATTCGCCCGCCATTCTTGCACGAAGTGGAGGCAGAGAAGAGTCTACCGCTGTCGACTCGTTTGCCGACGCGAGTCTATCGCTGCCGGTGCTCTCGCTTACGCCGCGCAAGATACACGAAGCGGAGACAGAGGATTACACCGCCATCACCCCTCTTGGCGTCGCGCAAGCTTTGCGAAGACATACGGAGCAAGATATACGAAGCGAAGCGGATAAACGACCAGCCGTTTCAGTTGTGGCTCGGACGCCTTTTTTTTCTGACAGATATTGAGTGCTACTTCCTGCTCATAGTGATTTGCGCTGCAGACGCGTTTTACGCGCGTTGACTCCCGACCGCGGCGCTGGCGCTTCGGCGCTGGTGCTGACAGACTTCGGATGCAGGATGAGTTTGGGTGACCCAGCAATTGCGGAACGCGCGTGTTGTTTGCTCGTCGCCGTTCCCCCTTCTCGTCGCCTGTTTTTGCTCGACAACGACGTCGCAAGCGCGTGCTCGTCTGGTGCACTCGCGGTAGTTATTCCACAGAGTGTAGCGCATCAATTTGCATGTTCCTGTCGTTTGTGTTGCCGAGCTCAAGAGCTCGGAAGGGGATTGCCCATAGTGCATGTGACAAGTTCGTCTCTGCACAGACCGTTGAGGCTCCCTCCTGAATGGGGTTCTTGTGAAGCCGCACAGCAAACGCACTGATCTTTCTTAGCCTTTAAAGTACCCAGCTAGGCCCCTTACGCTCAGGGGCGGCGCACTAGTCCCCCCCCAAAAAACAAAAAAAAAAAAAAAAAAAAAAAAAAAAAAGCCCCAAGACAACCCCAGAGACCCTCAGGACGGCCCCAAGACGAGCCAAGAAGGCTCCAAGATTGCCGAAGAGGCGCCCAGGACAGCCCCAGACCACCCCAGAACAGGCCCAAGATGGGCCCAAGAGCGGGAGCAGGAGGCTTCCAGAGACCTCCGAGAGGCCTCCGGGACCACCCAGAGACCCCCAACACACCCCCGATCCTTGAGAGGCCCCAAAAAGACCCCGACGAGGCTCCAAGAACAGCCCAAGAGAGCTGCGAGAGCCGTCCCGAGAGAGCCCAAAGAGGGTAAAATCGTTGATGTTCAACGGTTGTTTCCCATGTTGTTCGCCTTCTCACGTTTTCCCGCCTTTAACCTTCAAAGATCAAGGATTTTGAAAACAAAGTTACAACAACAACCACAACAACAACAACAACAGAAGAGGAAATTCCAAGAATTCCATTTTACCTAACAGCGAAGACTAATAGGTTTCTAGTGGTGTCAAAAGAAAGCATCATGACTCCCCAGGGGGGACCGGGCAGGATCCGGGGAGGGATCCGCGGAAGTCATTTTAAGCAAACACTTACACATATCGTGGTCTTCGACGTCCCAGAATTCTATTCCTGGGCACGATTTTGAATGCCCGGAGCCAACTGTAGGCCACTTCGTGGTCTTCGAGTTCCCAGAATTCCATTCCCGGGCCACATTTTGAATGCTTGGAACCAATTGTAGGCCACTTTGTGGTCTTCGAGTTCCCAGAACTCCATTCCCGGGCCACATTTTGAATGCCCGGAGCCAACTGTAGGCCACTTCGTGGTCCTCGAGTTCCCAGAATTCCATTCCCGGGCCACATTTTGAATGCCCAGAGCCAACTGTAGGCCATTTCGTGGTCTTCGAGTTCCCAGAACTCCATTCCTGGGCATGATTTTGAATGCCCAGAGCCAATTGTAGGCCACTTCGTGGTCTTCGAGTTCCCAGAATTCCATTTTTGGGCATGATTTTGAATGCCCGAAGCCATCTGCAGGCCACTTCGTGTTCTTCGAGTTCCCAGAACTCCACTCCTGGGCCACATATTGAATGCTGAGGCAGGCTGAGGCTGAGGCTGAGGCAGGCTGAGGCAGGCTGAGGCTGAGGCCGAGGCTGAAGGCAGACTGAGGCTGAGGCTGAAGCAGGCTGATGATTGAGGCTGAGGCTGAAGCAGGCTGATGATGAGGCAGGCTGAGGCTGAGGCTGAGGCTGATGCAGGCTGAGGCTGAGGCAGGCTGAGGCTGAGGCCGAGGCTGAAGGCAGACTGAGGCTGAGGCTGAAGCAGGCTGTTGAGGTGCCGGTCCTTTGAGGTAGGCTCTGAAGGCTTAGGCTGACGGTAGGTGATGCTGAGGAGGCTGAGGTGAGGCTGATGCAGGTGAGGCTGAGCAGGCTGATGTGAGGCGAGGCTGATAGCAGACTTAGGCTGGGATGTGAGGCAGGTGGGCTGGGCTGAGGCTGAGGCACGCCGAGGCAGGCTGAGGCTGAGGCTGAGGCTGAGGCTGAGGCTGAGGCTGAAGCTGAGGCAGACTGAGGCTGAGGCTGAGGCTGAGGCTGAGGCTGACGCAGGCTGAGGCCGAGGCTGAGGCTGAGGCTGAGACTGAGGCAGTCTGAAGCTGAGGCCGAGGCAGGCTGATGCTTGAGGCTGGCTGGAAGGCTGGGTTGAGGATGAGCAGGCGTGACTCCCGAGGCTTTGGCAGGATTGAGGTCTGAGGCCGAGGCTGTAGGCGGACTGCGAGGCTGGAGGATGAAAGAGGCGGTGGTGGGCTGAGGCAGGTGAGGCAGGCTGAGGAGGAGGGGGGAGGTGGAGGTGGGGGAGGAAGACGGAGGAAAGGAAATGAGGAGAAAGGACGAGGCGGGGGGAGGAGTGGTAGGGCGGAAGGGGGGAGAGAGGAGGAGGAGGCTCGGGGCGATCGACGATCGGAGACGAGACCGTCGACGGTGAATTCCCACGACGACGACGACGACGTCCACGGACGACAGACGAATTGACAATCGACGACGCTTGACAACAGTCGGACGCCGCCGAATCGATGATCGTCGGCGGGGGTGGGTGGTGGACGACGACGACGACGGCCACGCCGACGGCGGCGACGCTGTCCGACAGCCTCAGCGAGGCCCAAGGGGGCCCCAAGACGTCCAAGAGCGCCTCAAGAGGGCCCGAGATGGTTCGAAGCTGGCCGAAGAGGGCCTTCAAGAGGCAAAAATCGGCCCACTCCCGTTGTACAACGTACGTTTTCAGCATATTTGCTTGCTTGGTCCTCACAGTGCCCCAGACGCACTCGAGCCCCAAGACAGCCCAAGAGAGACCCAAGAGGGCCCAAGACGGCCCAAAAGGGTCGTCCTGTGAGGCTCACGGAACCCCCAAGACGGCCCAAGAGGCCCCAAAGTTGGCCCAGGAGGCTCCCAACACGGCCTCAGGGAGGCCCAAGAGGGCCTCTTTCGAAATCATGTTCCCAGAAGCTTCTCCAGGAACATGATTTCCTGGTTCACACGACGCCCAAGAGGGCCCGAACACGGCCCCAAAAGGCCTTAAATGGACGTTCAAAAAGGCCCGGAGGGCCACAGTTCGCTGATTTTCGCGAGATGTTGTTGGATTTCTTCCGCGCGGAGGAGACGGAGAGGGCGAAGGAGGAGGAGGAGGAGGAGGAGGAGGAGGAGAAGGAAGAGGAGAAGGAGGAGGAGGCGGGGAGGAGGAGTGGAGGGGAGGAGGGGGGGAGAGAGGAGGAGGCTCGAGGGCGATCGACGATCGGCGACCACGACCGGCGACGGTGATTGACGACGACGGCGACGACGACGACGACGACGATGACGACGGTCGACGACCGACGACGACGACGATAGACGACGATGACAACAGTCGACGTCGCCGATCGACGATCGACGGCGACGACGACGACGGCCACGCCGACGGCGGCGACGCTGTCCGCGTGCGCAGAGCCACCCTGGACCCAGTCTTTTCTGCATCGTTCGAAATCCTGCCCCTGGAAGCGTCTCCGGGAACATGATTTCAGGAGGAGGAGGAGGAGGAAGAGGAAGAGGAGGCAGATTAGGAGGAGGAGGAGGAGGAAGAGGAGGAGGAGAGGAGGAGGAGTGGGCGGGAGGGCTCGGGGCCGATCGACGATCGGCGACGGTGATCGGCGACGGTGATTGACGATGACGACGACGGTCGTCGACGGCGACGACCGACGACGACGACGACGACGACGACGACGACGACGACGACGACGATGGACGACGATGACAACAGTTGACGCCGCCGATCGGCGAACGGCGACGACGACGACGAACGGCGATCGGCGAACGGCG